TGTAACAACACATTCACCCTTTTAATCTTCATCCATCATGTCTGAAAGGCAACCATCCTATAAAGCCATGTTGCTATTCCTGCAGTCAGGGATGAAGCGGTCTACTGCCTCCCACCCCAGTTATGCCTTTAGGCTTTCAGTGTGGCCCCCTTGTGAGTAATCCCCAACCAGTTCAGATGGGGTGCCAAGTGCTGCCCCCCAAGCCTGAAGTCTACTTTCAGGACTTCGCAGTTTGGTGCACTTCACTGGTCTGATGCACTCACATATTGATTTGACCTCAGGTGGGCCCATCAGACCTGCAATTCTCTTTCAACTGTATCTTCAGGGCTGTCCTCTGCAGCACTGCCTAGGGAGAGGCCCTCAAGTCTTGAGCTGCAGCTGCTCCAGGTGTGAACATCGCCCTCCTGAATTGTGAATTGGCATGCCGGAATGAGGGCTACTCTCCTTTTCCTTGGAAAGATAAACAAGACCTTCCCCTTAGGTGGGTTAGCGCCCTAGATGTAAGGTGACCAGATTTTAACATTGGTAAAGCGGGACACCATTGATAAAACTCATATCCTGGCAAAATAGCCACATGGCAGCCAAAAACCGTATACCCAAGCTTGCCGTGCATTCTTTAAAAAAATTGGGCCTTTTTTAAAACACCGCGGGACACAGGAAAAATTGTTAAAAGTCGGGACTGTCCCTCCAAAAGCAGATGTCTGGTCACCTTACCTAGATGCCATCTTCCTGGAAGTCCCTCTGTTTTCCTACAAGTGAAAAAATTTTCACCTTTCCTCTAAAATGTAGAGTCATACAGTCCCAAGAATCATTGAGGGAATGGAACCAAAATTCTAGGCAGATTAACCCCAAAGCAAAATAAGCACAAATGTACTTGTGCTTACTTCTACACCTATAATGAACAATTTCACCACATCAAAGATTCTGGTATTAGGTCTGGCTGGCGCCTCTTTCCCAACCACCACAACCCCTTCCCACAGATCCAACATCTCTTTTCAAATTTGCAATCCCTGACAGGGTTGAACATAGAGTAGGCAAGGTAAGTACCACCTAGTTGTGCTTATTTATTAATCTGTAGTGATTATGTGGCACAAAACATGTGCAACTCTTATCGATTAGTAAACACAAGTAAGCCCATGTGTATTTGGTACAAAATATGTAACACTGTTCCCTATGGGTTAGAAAACAAGCACAAGTAAGCCCGTGTTTACCTTATTTATTAGGTAATCTTCCCCCTGATGCCACGCATCGTGCTGGAATGTTTTATATTTAAGACTATTTTATAACACACAATTCTTAGAACCTTGTGAGAGAGGTGTTATTTAAAGATAAAGACACTGTACTTCTTCTAGGCTTTAGGATTGACGTGCTTAAAGAAGTTGAAGGTAACCCCCCCCCCGGGGGGTCCTACATTCTTACCAGGGGGGCATTAGGAAGCATCTTGGAGGAGTTATTCTTAGACTAGATCTCATACTGGAATGGGTTTTTTAAGGCTGTGAAGACTTTCTAGATGTCATCGAGACAGAGGTATAAGATAGGCGAAACAAGGTTAGGTCAACAAGTCCTGCTACCAGGATTCCAGTTCACAAGGCAAGGGGGTTATTCCAAGCAGAACGTGTTTAACTGTGTCTCTACCAGAAGTGGATGGCTGTGTACAAATTTTCTCAGTAATATAAGACACTTGACTTAGCCTGACTAGGGTGCCTTAAAAATGAGTCTAACAAAAAAAATAGCTTCCAAGGAAATCTGCTGGGCTAGGTATGTTCAAGGCAGAGGTCAGATGAGAAGGACATGGAGACTGTTTACTGGAATCCCATCTTGATAGATTTTCCCAAGAACACAGAATGATCATGAAGGCTTTATCGGGAAGGAGATTTTTTTTTTTTAGGAAGGAGTTTTAAGAAAATTGAAATTTGAATTGGTGGGGAAAAGGCCAGGATAATTGTCCTGAGGAATTATTTTCCATAACAACAATGCACCTGCTCATTCTTTGAAGGAAGTGAGGGCTGTCCTAGGATAATTTCATTAGGACACACTACTGACCCTCTTGACTTGATTTTTCCCCTTAGATGTCTTTCCCCCCAACTCAAAGAACATTTCAAAGAAACACGATTTAAGTCTCCTAATGCCCCAATTATTGTTTCTATTTGGTGTTAATTGAAGAGCACACTATTCTGCAGGGAAGAGTTACAGAGATGGAAAAACTCTCTTCACAAGAGTGTAGACCAGGGGACGATAGCAATCCATAAGAAGAAAACTGAGGGGGAGTGCAAAGTGGAGACCCAAAAGACCATCTGTAGACAACTGGACATCCCCTGACAGAAGAGTCACAAGGAAGAGGCGAGCCAGTCAGGGTGCAGTATAGCGCCGATTGAAACATACAACTTTCCTCTAGTTGTTTAATACTTCCTCCTCCCTCACTATCATGATCCCAATTCTACCTTACAAATCCTGCTAGACAAGAGGATGTACATTGGTACAGATAAGAACTGGAAACACAGGGAATCCAGGACAAATAAAGCGTTCAGGACCAATAATGAGAGTAAAGATACCAGGAGGGTAGGGGAAAGGTGGGGTAGAAAGGGGGAACCAATCACAAGGATCTACATGTAACCCCCCTCCCTGAGGGGCAGACCACAGAAAAGTGGGTAAAGGGAGACTTCCGTCAGTGTAAGACATGAACAAAAATTAGAAATTATCAAAGGTTCGTTAGGGAAGGTGGGGGAGGGGAAATATGAAACCCTGATACCAAGGGCTCAAGTAGGAAAGAAAATGTTTTGGAAATGATGATAGCAACAAATGTACAAATGTGCTTGACACAATGGATGCATGCATGCATTGTGGTAAGAGCTGCATGAGCCCCCAATCAAATGATTAAAAAAAAAAATCAAAGGGGCAGGGTGAAAACTTGGGGGAGGGGGTTTTAATAAGTAAATTGTTGGATAAAAATTGTCTGAAATGTAAACCTCAATCTAATTCACACACACACACACACACACACACACACACACACACGAAGTGTAAGTCTATGATATACCAAGAAACAAGAGCTTTTATTTGGTTGATCGTTTTAACCAAATTTCTATGGTTTTGCGGCAGTACTTTTTGACTCCTCATCTTATGTATATGTGCTATGGAGGCAGACAAGTGTTCCAATCATAGGTCTGCCACCAGTTTTGCAAGTAAGAATTAAATTTTGTATCAGTTTTAGCTTTTTTATCTTTAAAAAAGATAAACGGACTTCTTTGATTTTCAGGCTCATGAGGGAGAGGGGAGCAGGGAAGGAGAGGGAGAAATGAGGAGCTGATATCAGGGGCTTAAGTGGAGAGGAAATGTTTTGAGAATGATGAGGGCAATGAATGTACAAATGCGCTTGACACAATGGATTTATGGATGGATTGTGGTAAGAGTTGTGTAAGCCCCCAATAAAATGGTTTTAAAAAAAGATCGAAGGTAATAGGAACAAAGCACTTGGTTGTTTCGAACATTATAGATAGCGAGTACTGTTGCTGAAGGCCAGGGCAATGGGAGGATTTAGCTGCCCTTATTAGGGAGACATTGAAAAAGTCGGATTAGTTTTCCATTTATTCTCAAAGGTGGCATTAGGTTTGACTATGCCATCCCAGAAAAAACGAACCCAACTGGCTCGCATTATGGACTATTTATAAGACGTGTTGTGCCTGAACATTTTGAGATGGGCGCAATAAACTTCAGATGAGGCCATCTGGTTCGCTCTGAGTCAAAATGGAATCCACTGGATGGTAGCCTGGTAAGGTAAAAAAAGGGAGAGGCCAAGCTCCCACTAGGTCTGGAAGTCTCTCCACCCCCACTCCCCACCCCCCACCCCCCCCCC